AACTTGCAATGACTATCTTTTTAATTCTTAACTAATGAAAATGGTAGTATCGCTTATATATCAAGCCAAAATTACTTCAGAGGAATGGTGATTATTTTTCATCCACCCTACTGGAAATTGCAGTTACGAGTCATCCGAGAAGAAAATATAATTTTTTTTTCTTTATTTCACTTTTCCGTGAAACTGAAGTTATTCGAATAAACAGTGCTGGTGCCATTTGTTGGAATATGAACGATTTTTTTGTTGTCGAGGCTTATCAGTGGGATTTCCATCTTTGTGTTCAACAGGATGTAATCCCTGTTGTCAGATGATGGCATCTGACATTCCCAATTGACAGATGAAGGCATCTGACAAATAGTAAGGATGTCAGAATATAATGGTTCGAAGGGATCCAGTAGAAGAAACAGTCAACGTTCCAAAGTAACAAAAACTCCCTCTAAACAATCCACAAGTTCAAAATCGGCAGAAGAAGAAATAACAGATGAGTCAGAAGTGAAATATTCATTTTTGAGCAAATATCCAGAAGTCAAACCTACCTTATCGGAATACAAGAAGCAAACTTTAGCGGAAAAGCCACTTTTCCCAACAGTAGTCACACTCGATAGTAATGATGAGTTATTGGAAAAAAATGTCGATAGTTCTTTTCTCGTTACGGGATTTGGTATCAGAAATCTGAGCTCTCTGCAAGATGCTCTTCAGGAGAATGAAAGAAAAAGGTGAGTTGAAATATGTTTTTCCATATTAGTGAACATTTTATACAATGAACTATTGAGATGAAGAGTGCGAGAAATGTAAGTAAAACATCTTTTCGTGAAATACCGTCCTAAAAACAAATATTATTTGACAGAATATACGTCTTTGTATGTAGTATTCAGTTCAATATATCTTTCGGATGTGTTGAAAGGATAATAGAAACTTCAATCTAATCGTGATTGGTAAATCACAACCGTTAAATTGGTTGTGCTCAAAGTAACCATGATTAGTAAAAGGTCGTACTTGGTGACAGTGATAAAGTTACGTTAAACTTTCGTACGGTTATATAACCGTTTCGAACATAATAAGCAGTACATAATGGGTTTTATAGAAATATATAGCACTAGGTAATCAAACTCATCAGCATTGCATATGTATTTTTGATTAACAATCTGTCGTGTGGTTGAAATAGACAGATAAAACAAATGTGCCTTTTTTGANTTTGATGATTGTTCTGGAAAGGAAAGGAATGGTGCTACATTAATTCATATAAGTCTCAACTGTGGAATAATTCTTGAGCGAGATATGTCCCTTACAGTAAAAATTGTCACAACTCTCCTAGGTCTCCCCTACGTTCTCTTGTCAACATATCAAGTCGAACTAGTTGCAGATAATTTTAATTTTTGAACTCTCAGTGTCATCTGAACCTTTCAACAAATACGGTATATATCTTTGAGTTATGACCTTCCGAATTTTCAACAGGTTGCCAAATGTATTGGAAACATAAAGAGTTTGCCCGCTTTTGAAAACGCCTTTATGACTTTTCAACTGCGAAATATATGTACAGTGTTCCAGAATATTTTAAAATTTGGAAGTTCCCCAAATTTTTGTGAGTTATCCGAAAATAGTAAAAGAACTTGCAATGACTATCGATCAAGTCCAGAAATAGGGTGTGAAACTCCCCAAGTTCCGATATCTCTCTATTGATTTTGTGAATCCAAAGTCTGGTCCCTCTTCGACTTCATACCTTTTCTTCTTCGGTCACCAATATTAGAATCAAAATATGTTCTTCTCCACTTGATATACCGTTATAGTTTCCACAAAGATAAGAAAAAACTGTACTGAACCAAAGCCTGCGGCCTCCTAATAAAATGCGCAGCTAACGTTCCGTCTTGATCCAGTGCGCGGCAAACCCCTTATGGATGATTCGTGCAAATTAGTAAAATTTTTACCGGCGATTCTTATCTCATATGGTAATATCCAGTGATTGTATCTTCGTTATTTTCAAATTCATAACGACGCGCGTTTTGCATTATCGAGAGATAACCAAGTTAGCATCATTTCCTATTGTTAGCGAAACGCAAGTCGGGAGACAGCATTTTTGTTAGGGTGAGGGAAAAGTGTTTTCAAAAGATTCATTTTACGCCAAATGTTCCAAATTCTACTCTTCATGTCTTTTCTTGCTTCCGTTTGAAACTTGGGCTTGAACATGAACGATGCGCAATACTCTAAATGATCATTATTTCAGATTGATAGAGTTATACAGACAACAACAGAAGCAATTGGACGAAGAGAGGCTACTTGCCGAAGCCCAACGACAGTCTTCGCTGTCATACACTTCTCGGTCTTCTTCCGAAAAATCTCAGGAAGCCACCAAACGATCTACAGAGACCGCGAGTACGCTCACCACAAATGTCTCAGAACAAAGGATGCATCTCGAGTATTTGATGGGCCTGCAAACTTTTGAAGAAGAAGAAGAAACGTTAGACGCGAAAGTCGAGGAAAAACCAGATAAGGATGATTTCGTGTATAGTAAATCGGCCCCTATGAGAAACGCCCAGAAGTATTTACGTGTTCACAGAATATTTGATTTTTTTCAGTTCATCATAGCTCATCTACTGGCGAAATGTCCTGAAAACCCAATAGACTTCATACTGGAGTTGTTGAATAAATGTCTGTTGTATAGATCTGGCATGGGGGAACCCCCGTTGCTGTATGACAAAAAGCATATCTCACAACTGTTCTGCCTGATGGATAGAATGGGAACTGGCTTCGTTGATTTGGAGCAGTACAAGAAGGGTATGGCAACACTGGGAATTTGTGAGTACAATAAATATCCTATTTCGACTGAGGATGGAATGGTAAACAAGGATACGTTTACTGAAGAAGTTTACGAAGCTGAACTGGCTTTATTCCAGGATCTCATTGGGAGAAAGTGGACAGAGACAAAGATCAAAAAATCATCTGAAGTGGTATATCAGGACGATGTATACAGAGATGACAGCGTTCCATATTTCTTACCACCTGAACTCTTCAAAAGTTATAAGAAGGAGAAAGAGAAGCTTAACGAAATTAAAGAAGAAGATGAAGAATATTATGGGGAGTGAAACTGCATTAATTTCCATAAATTATTGGACGAATAGTGAAATGAAATTTGGTTTTTTACAAAATGTTAGTTGTATCAGCGCTTATGAAAACATTCATCGTTGCATTACCGTTAGTACTGCTGGATAGTTTTCGAAGAAAATAATTTTAACTGTAACTTCTGCTGTTAATCTCCGTCAAAAAATAAAGAAAAAATCGACAACCTTTTTCAATTTGTTTGCCAGTTAATCTCCCTGGAAATCTTCCGACATTGAAATAATCATTTGTGCCTTTATTTTCAATACTATTCGTAATGATGGCGATGAAAATAATTATATGATTTGTTACATGGAGCAATTACGTGAAATTCATGACAAATTTTTACATCATTCAACAATATGAATATTCATATGCCATTCATCTTTAAATAATTTGATCGAGAGACACGTAGTGTCAGTGTATTGGAAAAGACCAGAAATCCGATATATTATTTTGGTAACTACAACATTCAACTCTAATGCACATTTCCGCTTACAACAAAAAATTTCCTAATGCAGATGTAGATTCAGATATTAGCTTTCTCTAAAAATCTTACGGCATTCTATAGCTCTCCATCACATATGCAAGAAATTGAATCAATCATACTATCTGATGAAATCTCTTAAGTGCAAGTTAGATACAAATTCACTGATATCAGTTTATTATGCCAAATTTCACTCGATCATGTATCAGAACATT